AGACACACTGTGTGAGTGTGTATGTGCATATATGTGTGGATGTTTTTTCACACTCTATATTGTGAGAGAGCGATACACATATAGAGGAAGAGAGTGGAAATGTATATTTTTTTTTTTTTTCTCTAAAAACACATATATATGTGTATAGCAAAAACATTTTTGTGTGTGTGTGTGAAAAAGGGGTATTTATTTATATTTTTATATCCCTCTTTTTTAAAATATGTCACACTTTATATATAGAGATATATTTTGTGTGTTCTTATAAATATATATATATACTGGAGAGAATAATATATACTCGAGTATGTGCGCGAGCTGTGTATATATACGGGGGAGGTGTGTGTGATCTTCTATATTTATATATATAAATATTGTGTGTAAAAATAGAGAGTGTAGTGTTTTCTCTCATATTAAAATACATATATATATATTTTTTTTTATATATATATATAAATATCTTTTTATATAATAATATATTTATGTGTGTATATGTATATATATATATATATATATATATATATATATATATATATATATATATATATATATATATATATATATATATATATATATATATATATATATATATTTTAGGTTGAACAAAAAAGCTAAGTCTGTTTGACAACAAAGTAAATTGTTACATTCATATTAACAAATTTCAATGAATAATTTTATATGCTTCATTTAATGTATCCATAACATAAACTTTTTGAGGTCAAAAAGGGTTTCTTGCACTAAACTCGGAAGAAGCAATCTATACAAAATCAACAGAGAATAAATACCTGCAAATTATTATTCTTGATACTGTTCTGATATTGTCTTATCCATAATCCATAAATATAAATCCAGAATTAATAACAAAGAGCAGCAAAATTTCTATATTTGTCCAGATCTGGCTCAATTTCAGCATACAGGATCCAGTTCCTGATAGACAAAATTAAGCCCCATCCTTTATACAGAACTGAATTGAACTTTAATATGATATTTCTATTCACCGAGAAATGTGATAACCATTTCTCCTGATGATCTAAAGCATGCCAGCCTGCATTTCTGCCGCTGTAATAAGCTGAATGTGTCTGTTCTTGTGTGTTGTGCAGTGTGGAGCTGGACTTTAAACTGCAGGAGGACAAACTGCAGCCGCTGATGAAGAGATTGTGTCCGACGGAGGAGTCTCTGTTTGCCTCTCTGCCGTTTGCTCAGGACACCATCAGCTCAACACCCAAACGCAAGTCCAAAGCCGAGGCCAAGAAACACGCGCGCTGGAAACTCTGGTTCCTGTGACCGCAGCAAACACAACACTTTAGTTCCAGACAGCTTTTCATTTCGCCTGGTATGATCGGGAGTAATATGTTTGTCCCTTTTCAGTACTTCATGGACGAGAGTACTGGGACTTGTGTATATTTAACCGAAGAATGGAATAATGAGACGTAGCTGGATCAATATTTATATTTATTGACTTTTTTTTTAATTAATTTTTTTTTTTTTTTTGATCATCATTTGGGATCATTTGGGGTCTTCTCTTCCTCGTGGATATCCACAGATTAAACGAAGCACAACTCTTCAGATGCACTGGAGGATGGTTTTCTTCACAGAGGACTTCATGGATTTATTATTTATTTTTTTCCAGAATGGAAAACTCACTCCAGGATGGGATTAATAGCAGACGGAGCTGGCGAAGTCACGGCAAATACATAATGCACTGCAAAAACTGCTTTTCTTATTTAGAGTTTGTGTCTTGCTTCTAGTCCAAAAACCTAAAGATTATTCAATAATGAAGCATTTTATAGAGAACTAAAAAACATTGGGTCACACTTTATTTTGATGGTCCGCTGGTTGAATTTAAGGATGCTTTCACACCTTCAGTTTTGCTTTGGAACCTGTCTCGTTTGCCCAGTTAGTGCGGTTCGTTTGACATATGTGAAACCACCAATTGTCGCGGGGGCACTTTTGATCATTTTGGAAGGGCACTTTCTATCCAAGACTAAAAAGGGCTTGTGCACTGCACAGGTTGAGCCCTATGTGTGCACGTGCCTGCTCTGGATGCCCGCAAACGAGTGATGATCTCCCGGTAATCTTGCGTCTCCCTCCCGTTCCTCAAATAGGCTACGTCGCGCACCCTTCTCACCCCTCCCCACCACATCTCTCCTCACTCTTCAGACACGTCGCGCGCAGCTTGTCAGACACCACCAAACCTCCACCTCTCCTGACAGCTGAGCGGGACTCTGCAAAATAACCCCTGACACTCTGACCAATGTGAGGAGAGTTTACTCGCACGTGACTTGTTTTAGCTCTTTTGGTCCAATTAGAAACTTTGCAATGTGAAAGCGAACCGCTCCAAGAGCAAAGAGCAACGATGTAACAATTGTAATCTCTGTTTCGGAACAACTGAATCGATTCACAGGTGTGAAAGCAGCCTAAGCTACATTGCATCTACATGCCAACTATTTCTCATTAGATTATAAATAAACTGTTAGGTTAGGGTTAGTGTAAGTTTACATGTACGTGCAAAGTTTCTTAGTTAAATGTCTGTTGAAGGAGCAGTATCAGCAGATGTTTAGCAGACAGTCTACTAATACTCAAATGGACCATCAAAATAAAGCGTTACCAAATACGGTCTTGTTTTCAGAAATGATGTGCGAAAATCAAGTGAGTTTTACCTTAAAACAAGCAAAATAATCTGCCAATGGGTTAAGCTAAGTAAATATATCTCAATGAGACAACTAGATTATTTAGCTTGCCCCATTTTGGCAGATTATGTAGCTTGTTTTTAAAAATGGACCTCTTTAACAAGATCTAAAAGAAGTCTCTAGAGTGTGCGTATGAAGTTTCATTTCAAATACCACACAAATAATGTTTTATAACCCTCTGAAACTGACCTTTTTAGGATTTAACCCTAATTGTGTCATTTTGGTGTCTGTCGCTTTAAATTTAAATGAGTGTCTCCTTTAAAAAGAGGGCGGAGCTACAGATGCCTATGCGTGAGCATACTGGCGGTAAAGTCTTGATAGGATACATAGCTGGCGGGAAGTGCAACATGCACATTAATATAGCAGCATTTATTTATGACACTGTATGACAACAATTAATATTTTTACAGTGCTGTGACAGTTGGGTTTAGAGTTAGGGTAGGGGAAGATGATATACATCTAATTTTAGGGGTGTCAAAATTAATTGTTTCTTCGGTGCACCGCGATGCAGATGTCGGACAATTCGATATCGGTTTAGTAATAATAATCATAACCGGTTATATGTAGTGATGTCCTTTATCTCATATGCGGCATATGTCGCCGTAGCTTACTATGGTGAGGGAGGTGAGTGCGAGTATTTACAACACTCCAACTACTTAAAAATGCAGAAACTTTGCACAATTTTACCGAGCGTGTGTTTGCTGGACAGTCTTTCACTGACACAGCAGAAGCCCCTATTTTACTGCGATTGAGAGAATGAAAGTAAACTACATCTCTCTCTCTCTCTCTCACTGTGGCCCATTTGTCCTGCTGGCGTGACTTTTCCTGTCCTCTCGGCTGTTACAGCGATACTTCTGGATACAGACACGAGCGCGTGCCTGCAGATTTTTCTCCACCGCGTCTATCATGGATCAGCTGTGATCACCACTGCCGTTTATCAGTCTCACTCGTCTGTGAAGAGCGCAGCACGCAAGAGCCAATGGCAGCCCTTTCTGTTGAGCGCGTGACCAATCAAAGAGGTGTAAGAGAACTTGGTAGACAAGGATCGGATAGCGAGCGGGATATTTATATTTGTTTATTTGCTATAAATGCTTGTGTTGTTTAAAGGTATAGTTTGTACATCTGACTGTATTAAAGGACAAAATTGTAATACAAATAGTATATAAATATTTTTATACACTTTAATACAAGTATTGCTGTGCTGTGAAGTAAATAAAAAAACAAAGGCATCGTCAATGCACTGTGATATCAAATTGAACCGAATCGATGGCATTATAATCGTAACCGAACCGTGAGAGCGTAGGTTCACACCTCTATACAATAGGGTAATTTAATAAAAAACAAATAATACTCTGTAAAACTACTGCTTTTACATTACTGTGATGATTGGGTTTTGGGTTGGGGTAGACGTTAACAAAATAAAAATAATGGGAAATTTTATAATTATTATAAATCATTTCCGTTACCTTCCGGCCACAATCATATCTGATCTAGCAACAACCCATAGTGGCAGATTCAAAAACAAGACTAACATTCTACGCCAATGAGGGAGAGATGGCCACTAGTGGGCGGGGCTTTCCCTTTCTGATGATGCATACAAAGAGAGAATGTCAATCAAAGTGCTTCTGCAGATGGTTTATCAAGTGTGATATTAAATTACCATTAGATGTTGGTTATATTCACACACTGCTGCCACACTACTGTGTCTAAACCCCTTATGAAAGTGATTTTTACATAATAGATCACCTTTAAGAAAAAAAAAAAAAACACTTCGTTTTGGCATTAATTCTGAAAACAAGACAGTATTTTTTGCTTGCCTAGAAAATCCTTCTTGATTTGAATTTTTTTTTTTTTTGATATATGGACTAAAAACAAGACAAAAACTCTAACAAAAGCATTTTGTGCAGTGTGTGTGGGATTTATATTGAAATACTCAAACAAGCCTCTGTTAATTCATAAGAACTTTCATATATTATTATTACCAGGAAAAAAGAATAATAATATGAAAAAAGTATGACTTATTTTTCTAGATTCGTAATAATCACATATTTAAATATTTTCTAGAAACACTATGTAAGAAATATATATATATATAAACTTCTCACTTATCGGATTACTGAAATTATAGGATGTGTTTTTGCCATTGATTTGATTTCACATGTTGTTCTCTTATGACAATAGCGGTAAACGTTTACCTTTCTGTGACAGACTGTCATTTTACAGAAGTCAAAACTCCATTCATTTTCTCAATAGGGAAACTGCTTTTAACAGAAACTGAAAACCTCTCAGAACAGACCTGTTATAAGCCCTGAGGTTTTAATGGATTATATATGCTTTTGTTGAACTCATCTGTTCACATTAATTCAACTGAAGCTCACAGGAAGAATTTAGGATGAGGCCATGCTGTAATGCAACCAATCAGAGCGAAGCAGTAGACAAAATGTGCCACCTACTCCCATTAAGCACTGCAAATGAAGTTGTCAATGTGTGTGTGTGTGTGTCTGTGTGTGTGTGTGTGTGTTTGTGGGAGGGGGGGGGGGTCTCCTCATCCACCACCAGTGTGCAGTATCCCCCTGGATGACGCAACAGCAGCCATATTACACCAGACTGCACACCACACACCAGCTGATAGGTGGAGAGGAGACATATGGGGATTGCTAGGAGGTCATGATAGACGGAGGACAGTGAGCAAATTTGGCCAGGATGCTAAAGTTAAACCCCTACTTTTTCCAAGGACATCCTGGGGTTTTTAAACGACCACAGAGAGTCAGGACCTCAGTCTCATTATAGAATCCCCATCAATATAATGGGGCGCTAGGACCCACAAGTATTGACCGGGCGCAGCCTTGCTTACCTTCAGTGGGTGACCATGTGAGAGTTGCAGAGAGCTAGCTGCCAGCTAAAATAATATAACAATAAATTACAAACATATTGCTTCAACAGATTCATAAAAAGGCCAGTTTTATGATTTAGATCAAAAGGTTTATTCAAGAAAAGGAAATCCTATGAGAACAGTAAAATTCATGGTTAAAAAGTCATTACACTGTCAATGTACAATATAATAAACAACTTATTTTATTTCAGCTAGTTGCCAACAAACTTTTTAATTTTGTTTACATTTCTAAAGAAAAAAACTATATATTTTATAGCATATATTTTATTATATTATAAAATATATTGTATATTGCATTTATATAGAGATATATTGTATATACATAGACGGGCTCACTGGGTGAAAAGGTGTAATAAAAAATACAATGCAACGAATGATTAAATGAAAATCATAAATTATTAATATAAATATTACTATTATTATTATATACATATAATTATTATTTTTTTAAATAAATAATATATAATATAAAATATATAGATTTCCCCTTATCATTTTATATTGATTGTGTTATTCATAATGCTTCATGGGATTGTAATTTAGTTGATATTCCTTTGTGAATTTCTGTCTGTTTTTCATCACAAGCGTGCAATGTTGTGATTCTCCTCATAGCAGGTTGGTTTGACTCATGGCTTATAACACACTAATGCAAACAATTAAAAAAAATCCCTATGAGAAAAATGAACAGGACAAAAATACTTCTGGAAGTGACAAAGTGTGACTAAAGCACACTACACAACTGCAGACATATACACTGAGACCCTCATCTGCATATGGCAAAAATGGCCAATACAGGATCTAAACATCACAGACTGACCTCTTGACGCAATATAAACGATACAAACTACAACCATGAATAGTACACATTAGAAAAGCAGAGGAAATTGATATATGTCATGGTTTTGAAATGACTTTGTACGTTACAGAACCCCTAGAGCGTGACATCACATCCTGTGTAGTGTGGGCATACAGTAGACAGCAGCACTGAATCAAACAGCACTCCTGTGGAGAAACTGATGAGAGAAAATAAGATACTGTAGAGAAGATGTGCGTCACCGATCAAAACTGACAGACCGAGAGCAGAATGCTTCACTCAGAAACCTAGACACAGGTGAAGGAGAGAGTTCATTTCCTTTGGTTTAGTCCTTCAGGGGTCACCACAGCGGAATGAACCCACAACTATTCGGGCATATGTTTTTACGCAGCAGATGCGCAACCCAGTACTGGCTAACAAGAAGAGAGTTACACTGTCAAAAAATCTGGGTTCCACAG